CGTCCGCGCAGTGCACTGCATCCTACAGTGGGCGATGGTCAAAGAGTGGTGCCCCCAGTGCAAGGCCCCGTTTTCGCACCTCTACACCCACCGTCACCTGGACGGCACCCCGTCGGACTACCCCCTGGAGGAGGGCGTCACGCTCCTCAAGCGCGCCCGCTGGTTTGTGGACGAGCACGAGGCCCGGGAGAAGGCCAAGGCCGCCGCAGCCGGCGCGCGGCGCCTGGCGGCCGCCGACGCGGAGAGGCGCGCGGCGGCGGCTGCGGCTGCGGCGGCGGACGACGCCGACCGCTACAATGGCGACGGCGAGGGTGAGGGACCTCTACTGGAAGTTACCTGGTGTGCTTGTGTGTTTTTGAGTGTGCCCATACATGTCTTCACATGCTGCCGCGATGGCTCCCGAGCGTTCGCTTCTCGGCCACCGCGCCAATCTCAGCTCATTTCTATCCCTCTGATCCCCCCTTGGCGTCACCGTCCAGGCCCTCCATCCCCGCGCGACTGGTGTGACATGTACGAGGACATGCTGGACGCTGAGCTGGAGGAGGACGAGGCGATTGAGGACTACTACTTCTCCTCGGCCGCGGGTGGGCAAGGGTGCCCCAGGGGGGTTGTGAGGGAGCTCCCATTGGCTGACGGGTCAGGGTCAGGCTGTTGTGGGCACTTCATGGCTATATCGACATGACAGCAACCGCGTGCTTCAGGCGCAGCCGGCGCGGCAGCGTTGGCTGCAACGCACAGACTGTGCGGGCCTGACGCGCCATGCCGACCGTGCACCCATCCCTCGACAGGCCGCGCGCGTATCGTGCTGGGCAACCGCCGCTGGGGTGGGGGCGGTTTCATGCGCAACGGCCGCATGTATGCCCGCCCCGTGAATTCCGGCGGTGCGAGCGGGAGCGGCGCCGGCGGCAGTGCTGGCGCGAGCACCAGCACCAGCACCGGCGCAGCGGAGCAGCAGTGCGCACCCGCAGGCGGCAAGGGCAAGGGCAAGGCCAAGCACACCTCTCGCCCAGCAGCGCCAACGGCAGCTAGCGGCGAGTCGCCCCAGGAGAGCGGCGGCAAGGGCAAGGGGCGCGCTGGCGGCGGCGTGCCGCCCCCTGGCCTTCCATCACCCGGCTGCACGGCGCGCCCGAAGATGCCCAAGAGCACGCAGGCGCTCCACGCGTGGGAGCGGGACGTCGCGCCCGCCGTGGCAATGGGCACTTCGCCGCTGGGGCGTTCCCCCTGCAGCTTTGGCAGCAACTGTGGGCGGTGGATGGAGGCGGCTGGCGCGGCGCTTGGGACGTCGCCGGGGGCTTGCGCGGGCTCGGCGCCCGGGTCGGGCCGGCGTGCCAAGCGCAACGCAAGGCGTGCGGCGGTCGACAGCGGCACCGTTGGGTCTTTGGACTTTGACTGAACGACCTGCGGCCTTTTGGGGGTGATGGCCGGTCAACGGCTAGCCCGCGCATCACGGCGGCCGCGATAGATTAGCAAGCTTCTCCAGCTTGGTAGTGTGTGGCGACTCGCCCTGCGTTGGTTGGACGAAGGGCCTTGGGCGCTGTTCATTGTCCGCGTAGCTTTTCACTGCTGTTATGCTTTGAGAGTGAGGCTGGAAGAGCTCCCAACCAGAAAGGATGTATTGATGGCTCACACAACACCACACGCTGGCCGTGCCACCTGTGTGCTGTGGCACAACACCACCCTGTGGAGCAAGGCCTCTGCGTTGTAGGGCCTTTTCTGCCGATCCAACCCTCTGCCTGTGCCTCTGCCTCTTCTTGAGCGCCTTGGTTGCTGTGCGCAGCGTTGCCGCTGGGTGCTGCCTGATGGCGCGCAGTGTCAGTGGTTCTGAGCGTGCCGTTGCAGCTGGCAGACTGTCGGCTTCTTTCTATACGAGACTTGCTTGCAGTGCCCTGCTGGCACACTGCAGTGGGCGGACGTGCAGGGGCCTGCTCAGCCTGCAACGGCCTGCCTACACCCTGCACCTGTCTACTCACAGGCTGTGTGCCTTGTGCAACACTGGCATGCGCACGCGCTTAGCAAGGAACTCCAAGGCATTTGAAGGGCAGCAGCGAACATTTTATCTCACTCCACTTTTGCGCACCATGCACCCAGCCATCCTCTGTAGCCGCCCGCCAACCTCGTGCTCTGCGAGTTGTACACTAACCCCAGATGCTGCCCATGCTTAACAGCGGGGCCGTTTCTTCCAACACTTTGTCGCGGCTTTTTTGTCATGGGTGCCATGGTAGCAGGCTCCAATGCCAGCTGCCGTCCCCTGCGTCTTTGTCCCCTGCGCAACCTGGTGCAACGTGGCCCAAACGGAGCGCTGCTGTGCGCAGACACGGGTGCGGCTTGCATTGTTGAATCAACGACGGACTCTGTGCCTCCTCCCTCGCCTGATGTGCCAGCTGCCAAGCAAGCCAACACAACGACGTGGGCGGGGCGCGGGTTCTTAATGCCCGAGCCTCCCACTTTGTAAATGTCACCATGTGTTGGCTGTTTGTGGGCCCGCTGTTGTAAATAGAGGCTGTGATGAGGTTCACAGCCGACCTGCGCTTTGGGGCTGCCATCCCACCAGCCTAAGCTGGCGAGCAGCTCCTGTTCGGTTGTCCCATCATCAGCGGGCACCATGACCTCCCAGCGTGGCAGTTTTCGCTCCTGAGCGTGGCGTGGTCAGTGCACTGCCTAGGCAGCTGGTATCAATGCTGACGCCTGTGCATTTTCAAGGCTATCGCACTTCAAGCCACAGTACCACCCTGCAGCCTGCCAAAGTCAGCAGAAAGCCTGCCGCCGTAATCCGCTTGGAACACAGCGTGGGCGACAAGCCACACACCTTACAGGACTCCAATCGGTCCGCACAGCCCCGATCGCTCTGTTACCCAACTCTTCAGCGGTGGACGATGCAGGTCGATCCCTTGCTGGTTGCACGGGGCTGCTAAGGCAGCTGAGGGTGCGTGAGCCCTACACAAATTGCACACATTTTGTGGAATGTGGCAGCTGCTCACACACATACCGGCCAAACAGTTGACAAAACAAGCCTGGAAAAAAGCGCACAAGACGATCAAGCGCCATCAACAATCCGAATTGCAGTATAAGCACGCCATGCGATGCAACTTTCAGCTGCATGCATCAGTCTGATCATGTGCGGCCAATCAACCTTGATCGCGTCACACAATCACCCGCAGTGCTGACACGCGAGCCCAGTGCAGTGGCCTTGAGAGCAAACACGACGTTTTGTTTAGACTGTTTGCTCTCTTGTGGCAGCACTCAAAACACATGCTAGCTGCTTGCTTGTGCAAATCCCCATGTGCAACACCACATCGTTCGCTGTAAAAAACTGTGCTTTTGACCACCTACCACAATTATTCTCAAAATGCCGGTGCTTGGAAATGCAAAGAACTTGCTGGGCTTGCATTTGAATGGTAGAACCAGTATGTCAGTGTTTCTCCCATCATTCATCACTTTCACTGAAAGTCCACCGTACTTCGCGTGCGTTTATGTGGAAATTTGAGAGATTCTGCTGCATACGGGTGCTAGTGAGGCAAGAAGTCTGGCTTAGGGTGCAAGACAGCCTGCACAGCCCAATCAAGGGCGTCCGCCTGGGATGAGCTGACTTTACAAGAGCATTTCAGCGCTCAACAAGTAGCCGTCTCCTGCCGGCAGGCTTCAGGCCATTGCTGGTTTACCAGAAGCAAGGCCAGTCTGCTCATGATTGGTCGCTTTTACACATGGAATGTACCCAGCAGAAAGGACAGAAATGGCGCAGCAAATGATATCAAGCAGCATCGGGCCCGCGATGCCATGGTTGCTATGGACGGCAGCGTGCTTGTATGTGCATGAGCTGCCTCGTAGACTGCCAGCAGCCAGACGGTAGCCAAACTGGAACACGGCCCAACACCAACACTGCAATCTGCCAACTTGCATCACTGCTTGTCTGCACCACCCCGCGCCCCCACCGGCACCTCGCACGCTGCAGCGCCGTCGGTCCCCTCCTCGCCACACAGGCTGCCCGCATCCCCCTTGCCGGCTGCCTCGGCTGCGCGGCGCTGCAAGATCACCTCCATGGCCTCGCGACCCGTAATCTGGGTCCGGTACTTGGCCCACACGTCGTAGACAGCGTTTGCCGCCTTCTCCACAGCTGGGTTCTTGGTCAACGAGTACACAAAGCCTAAACCTGGGGATACGTTACAATAGGGACGGAAGGTGTCAGAGGGTGGGCAGTTGCACGGACCCAGCGCGGGAAGCGGGCCAGTCGGGTTGATGTTATAAAAGAGGCCTTGGCCTGATCATGCTATATCGGGCGGGATCCAGCGCAATTCCTGCGCCCAAGTATGAGCTTACCGACTGCCTCATAGAGCCGGCGGAAGACCTGCAATTGGACAAGAAAGAGACAAGAATAAGGGTGTTCAGGAGAGCTGCATCCGACAATGCGCGGGCCAAGAAGCATGCACTGCTGGAAAGCTGCACTAAAACGCGGATGTCACACGCACCACCGAAGCCGCAGGCTTTCAGGCGATGTGGGGCGGGCGGCGCCACGCTGCCGCCAATTCTTGCCAACCAGCCTGCAGTGTACCCACCTCAATCCCTGTGATGATGCGACCGTCGCTCTCAATGGCGTGGATCTTCTCCATTGCCTGGAGGTTGGAGGGTGGCAGCCGGCTTGAAGTTGTTTGGAGAGGCAGCGAAGCATGGGCCCTTGCTCTGTATCCTTCAAGCACCGTGCCGCGACAACACGGTGCTCAGCGCGACATGAAGGAGCTGTTCTACAGGATCACCAGACGGTGATGCAACGTGCTTGATGCTGATGGCCTGAGAGCAGCCGGTCGGCGGCGAGGCTGAACAAGACCAGGGCCGCTGGACACACCCCAGCCCCACCGCAGCTGACCGAGGTGGCCGCCTCGGCCCCGGCGGCCGCCCCTTCCGTCCGCCTTGCCCCTGTTGAGGCAGCCTCAATTTGATTCCCTTCGGCCCTGCCTTTTTTCGGCCCGGCCCTCATGATCCTTCCCCGCCTGCCTGCTGGTACGTGATGCCGTAGTTGGCCTCGGCCGTGTACGACGGCGCAGCAATGTCAACAAAGTCGATCTTGCCGCGCCCTGCGTCGCGGCCGCGCAGGAAGTCCACCTCACGCATGCACAGCGGGCAGGCGCCGTCGTATAGCATGCTGGGACATGGACAGGAGGGGGGACGGGAGATGGGCTTTTGAGAGGGGCGTGAGGGCAGCAGGACGGCGCTGTCGGACTCTGCCTATGGTTGAGGCTGCCATGTCACGTCAGACGCTTCGCAACAGACGTGGTCACTGCGCCCTTGTACGCTCACCGAATCTCCCACGACACTGTGGGTACGGCTGCCGCCCGATTGCTGCTAGTGCTTGCGGCGCGCGCAGGGATGCGCCGCCACTGTGTTGTGCCCTGCGGTGGCGTTAAGCGGCTGGCACGGGCCACCACTCGAGAGCTCCGCGTGAAAAGGGGTTGCATCATGCTTTTATATTCCGTCTGGTCCTGCAACCCTGTCGCGTGCGCTGCCCCTTGTGGTCTGCAGGGTGTCGAACTTCAAGTCGCCTGTGGTACTTGGTTCTAAACTGCCTCGTTGCGAAATCAATTCCAACTCGCACTTTTTGAACAAGTCAATCACCACTGGTTGCGGTGATCGACCGCACAAAACCAGCTCTGATGCAGGCCACAAGCTCCGCAGGCAGGTGCCCACACCGTGGCACGTCCAGTTCATGCGCTCATCATAGGACCAGGACAATTGTATGCAGGTCGTGCTCGCACACGCGCGAACATGCCGCGGATCCGTCGGCGGCGCCCGCCGCACGGGGCGAGCGGGGCCCGGCAGTGATGGCAGCAGCGGTGGGCAGCGCCGCTGCCCAGCTGATGGCGCTGGCACAGGCGGCACAGGCAGCAGAGGCGCCTATTGTGCCAGTGGATCTGTCAACCTATGTGCCCAGCCCGCTGGAGCCCAGCTGGCAGGTGGGTGCCTGCTTGGTGTTTCCCAGAGCCAAGCACGCGGCTTGTCCTGTGCATCTTAACGCCCTCTCGTGGCATGCCCACGGCGTCGCTTTCTGCACCCCTGCTTTCATGTCTGCCGGCAAGTGTGACTCATCGTGCCGCCACATCTTGCAGGTGTGGTTTGGCGCGTTTGTCGGCGTCGTGCCGTTCGTCATCGGCGCCTACGAGTTCACAAAGCGCATCGTGAGTGGCTGCGTTGCTGGGGTGGGTGTGCGACCCCAGCAACTTGCAGCAACGGCCAAGCCGTGTCTGTGCTGATGGGATGCTGCGAGACCCTCAGCTGAGTCAGCTGCTTTGGGCGCATCTGCTTCAAGGTTTGTAGCCGTCCTTGCCAAATACTTCCCGTCCCTTGCACCCCCCCGCATGCAGCTGATTCAGCGGCGCTGCAAGGCCTGCGACGGCAGGGGCCTCATCCTGAAGGGCAAGTATCCAAAGAAGTGAGCGGTCCTGCCGGACGAGGACGAGCGCAACGCATCGAGGGGGCCTCGTTAACGGCAGGGGGTGTGCATGAAGCAGGGGGTGTGCATGAAGCAGGGGGTGTGCATGAAGCAGCGTCCTGAACTGCCGCTGCGGTCTTCTCATGGATTGGCCGCCCGTGCAATCTTGGCTGTGCTGTGCTTGATCCCGCGGAGTGCTCTGCACCAATACAACTTGGTTATTAAACACATCATGGGTGCCGCTCCCTCAAAGGTGCCCCGAGTGCGGCGGCATGTTTCCTTGGATCTCGTGGCGGATGTTCTTGGCCGCCAACGCAACGCCCGGCAACGGCGGACCCCTCATGCAGGTGTGGGTGCGAGCTGCGGGTGGTCCTGGCCTGTGAGATGGAAGAGTTTCGCAATTTTCCGTGCCCACATAGCCGGCGTGTATGTGCACAGAACACAGGGTACAGGACCAGGCCTGTGCGCCATGCACTCGTCTGCCCCAAACCAAGTGTGCCGCTTTTGCGCACAACATTCAACTCATCGCTCGTCACAACCATGCGCAGCCGAGGGGCCAGACATCCATCTTCTACACAGTCCCGCCACCGCCCGAGCGCGACCCAGCTTCTGGCGCTCGGAGCCCATCGCCTGGGGCCAGGACGGACAGCGAGGCTGCGACGGGCGCGAGCAGGGACAGCGGCGATGGGGACCAGCGTGACGGCGCGCAGCGGGTGGCAGAGGTGGTGGCATCGCAGCAGCAGGACCGTCCTAGTTGACTGTGTTCACACCTTTCATTTCCAAGCATCAGCTTGAGTCCCTCTCTCTTCTGCATTGAGCGAGCATTTGTGGTCAGCCATTGACAACCAGCTCCATTGACTGTTTGACCGGATGCACTCGCAAGGCGCGATGCATGTTTTGTAATAGGACCATAACAGGCCCTTGAAATGAGCAGTACCGACGATTTGGCGATGCTCTGACGGCAGTGGGCCATGCGCCTCGGCTGTGTGAGCATGCCACAGTGCTCACCTGCAACGCGGTTGTGAAGCCGCAATGCGCCGGCCCTGAATGCTCACACTACAGCCGCGGCTACAGTAGTGATAACACTCTCTCAAAAGTATAACATTCGACATATTCGTCTTCACACACAAGGCCTTGCAGCACCCCTCTTTCATCGCGCACTGGGCTCCTCGTTCACGCCTGGTGCATCCATCTAGGTCTTGGGGAATCACACATTAAGCTAGAGTGGCGCCAGCACAATGCGGCTGGTCGCTGAGCAGAGCCCACTGGGAATGCTTGGTCCCTCCTGCAGAGGATCACGCGCGCTGCATCGCGTTGCGAAGCAAATTGTTCCCCGGATCCATCGATGCAGCAGCAGCAGCTCGTCCGCACCGTGGACTGCTCGGGTGGTGGTGCCCGTGAGCAGCGAAGCCGCGGCCATCCATCCCCCCATCGAGCGGCCGTCCCCAGCACAACTACTGGAAGAAATAGTTGAACCGGTAGCAGCGGACATGGACACAATGAACCAGAACCTGCGGCACATCGTCGGCGACCGCCACCCGATGCTGCTTGCAGCGGCGGACCAGATTTTCGGGGCGGGCGGCAAGAAGCTGCGGCCCATGGTTGTGCTGCTCATGGCGCGTGCCACTGCGGAGATGGCGGGCCTCAGGTGTGGGCGGGGGCGGCTGCTGCTTGGACTGGTGGGCGGCAACTTTTGCCAAGAGGCAAAGGCAGCGCCCTGATGTTCGACGGGCGCTCTGCGATGCAGCAGCAGCGTGTGTGGCGCAATCGGCGGCATGGCTGGGGCACAAACACCAGGCACACTCTGCTTTCAGCAGGTCCCAATTCTCTCCCCCTTTGCCGTGCTGAGCGCCGCACCACTCTGTGCTGGAGCCGCACTGTTGCCGCACCGGTGGCTAACTCGCGCATCCTCCTGCATCCCCCGTGGCCCCCAACCCCGCCCGTCGACAGCAACATTGTCGCGTATCACCGGCGCCTGGCGGAGATCATTGAGATGATCCACACTGCCAGCCTCGTGCACGATGATGTGCTCGACGACTGCAGCACGCGGCGGGGTGAGTGGCCGTGGCTTGGTTTCGGCTTTCGACACGAGGGGTGCAGCTGCACACCGCTCACAAGTTATGAATGAGAGGAGAAGGGGGTGCAACACCTATGTACCTTGCCGTCAACAGCAGCGTGTTGGCCGGCGTCGGCAACAGCTGTAGGTTTAGTTGGTTGCGCAGCTGCTCGTTCGGGCGTTGCAGGTGGCAGCTTCGGCTTGAGCTGTTACAGTGCTGCGTCCTGCGCATTGCTCACAGCGCAGCAAACATGTTCGCCTGTGCGCAGGCAAGGACACGGTCAACACGCTGTATGGCACGCGTGTGGCCGTGCTGGTGGGTGACTTCCTTTTTGCCCAGTCTTCCTGGTACCTTGCCAACCTTGACAATTTGGAGGTCATCAAGCTCATCAGCCAGGTGGGGAACGGAGAGTCGTTAAGGGATAAAGAGTACATGGTCACACGGAAGTGGAGCATGTGATCGGGATAGACGGCGAGCGCAGCAGTCGGGCTCGCAGGGGGTGAGCGGCATGGGGACCTCGCAGACGTGTGCAGAGGCTCAGATGTCGGGGATGCAGCCCTTGTTGAGATTCAGTGGTGTCTTGTTGTATAAAGCTGGCATCGCGGCTTGGGCGTTTGCAGCTAGCGGTATGCCCAGTGTCTGTGAGATGACGGACAGGGCGGCCGCACAAGACTTTCCCAGGGCTCAACAAGACCCTTCCAGCCGTTGTCCACGTCGCATGCTCAAGTCACTAGCCTCCTGGTCTATGCGTTGAGCTGCCAAGCCCCCTGCCCTAATCCACGGCCGCAGAATCCCGTTGCAATCACTCCTCTCTATAAACACACTTGCATGCAAATGCGCACGCGTGCGTGTGCCCGCACACTCGCGCGTGTACACACACACACACACACACACACACACACACACACGCACGCACGCACGCATGCACACACGCGCACGCGCACACACACACACACACACACACACACACACGCGCGCGCGCACGCACGCACGCACGCACGCACGCACGCACGCACGCACGCACACGCACGCACGCACGCACACGCACATGCGCACACACGCGCGAACACGCGCACACGCACGCACACACATGCACACGCACATGCATGTGCACAGATGCATTGACGCCCGCACGCCCGCACACGCTCACATCAACGCATCTGGCGGGCACGCTCACCATACTTTTGCCCCCTGATAGGTCATCGCGGACTTCGCCAACGGTGAGATCAGCCAGGCCGCCTCCCTGTTCGACACTGAGATCACACTGGACACGTACTTGGATAAGTCGTTCTACAAGGTGCGTGTCCAAAGTTGCATGTAAGGGCGTGCTTGGGCGGTCGGGGTGGGTGAGTTCTAGTCGATGTTTTCTGGGTATCACGTCAGCTGGATAGTGGCCATGGCGGATAGGTGCGCGGTTTTGATGTGGAAGCTGATGCACCTCGTGCGGCTTGAGCTTACTGCCGCGGTGATACACGTTCATCTCCCGGCATGAATGCAGCAAGGCAGAGCTCCCACCCCAAAAATGAAACGCGCCGCATTTGTAAGCCGATCACACACAACCGCCACCCCTCGTTATGTGCTCCCTCTCCCCGCCTCCCCAGACTGCATCCCTCATCGCGGCCAGCTGCCGCAGCAGCGCCGTGTTCAGCGGCATGAGCCCGGAGGTGAAGGAAGCGATGTACGACTATGGCAAGCACCTGGGCCTGGCATTCCAGGTGGGGGCGGGGCGACAAGGAGTGACGAGCTGTTGGTTGCTCGGCGGAAAACAGGGGATGGATCATCCAAGGGCAGGGCAGCCGCCTGGCACGCCCGCAATTTGTCAGCGTGATGGGCCCGCTTTCACTACATCAAGTCGGAGCAACTGGCGGCTGTGATTGTGACTGTGGGACGCCGAAGCCAGTCTACATGGGCCTACCACTTGCGCTGCCATACTCAATCGTGACATGCATACATGTGCGAAGGCTTGACACGTGCGTGCATGTCCATGCCGTTGCAACCTCGGAGATATCACACCCTGCCAACTCGCGACTTGACATCATGGCAGGTTGTAGATGATATCCTGGATTTCACTCAGACCAGCGAGCAGCTGGGCAAGCCACAGGGCCAGGACCTGGCCAGCGGGAACCTCACGGCGCCCGTCATCTTTGCGCTGCGGAACTCGCCGGAGCTGGTGCGCACTCAGCTCAGATACCTACATTTGGTTTAGGCGAATAGAGGCCACCCCCAGTTTTTGCTGTTGTACACCCTGCCTTGCTAGGAAGCCTCGGCCTGCTTGCGATCCTGGATAACCCGGAGCGCACACGCGTGGGCGCCCACGCGTGTGCATGCGCATGTGCACACTCACACATGCATGTGCATGCATGCACGCACACCATCCATGTCACCCCTTGACCCTAACATTTTGTCGTGGCACGCGAAACTTGCAGGAAGAGTTGATTCAGTCGGAGTTTTCAGAGCCGAACTCGCTGCAGCGCGCCATTGAGCTCGTCAGTAGCGCGGGCGGCGTGGAAGAGGCGCGGCGGCTGGCGAGGGAGGAGGCTGACAAAGCACTCGCAGCGCTGGCCGTGCTCCCACCGAGCCGTTCAAAGCGGTCGCTTCAGCTAATGGTCGATTACGTCTTGGACAGGATCTACTGATGGACTGATATGGTCCGGGGCGCGCGTTGTGGTGTGTCCGGGCACAAAGCTGGGCTATGGCTCGGAGGGCTGGCAGGCAGAGGCCTGCTTGATTGTGGACAAGTCGCCTCATCCCGGGTCTCTTTGAGGCCTGTCGCACTGGTTTGTGCATGAGCTGCTTGGCGGGTGTTGTCATCTAACACCGAGCCTGGCATCAAGTGCAGCAGCACTTGATATCTATTTGGCAGACGGCACAACACCGTTGTCCATTTTACGGGTAAGGCATTGCCCTTCCAATGCTAGTGTGCATTTGATGTACATGAACTCTATGCATGCACAGCACGCGCCTGCATCATGCACACGAGGTGGCCTGCATTGAGGCCGGCTCGAAGGAGCAGGAAGGGGTATGGCAATTCGCTTTCCGTTGCAGTTCAATTAATCCCCTACTGCCATCGAGTGTTGCTTCGCACGTACCAAAGTAGCCACAGGTAGCGCTCAGCGTATGCTGGTCAAAGCTGTTTGCTTGGCGCTTGTTACAAAAATCATTCGCATATCATGTGGCCAGTCACCGAGAGCAAGGATCTGGCAGACTGACAGGTACCAGGGAGGGCCGCTGGAAACCCTGAGAAACCGCTACCATTCAAGCCACAATGCTGCAACCCTTCCCCCGACCTCAAAGTGTCCAAGGCATAGGGGGGGAGCCAGGTACCGCGCGCAAAGGCAGGGACCCATGCACAACTCACAAACAATCAAAGCAGGGCACGGATTGCCAGTTTGGACCAGCAGCACGGCAGCGATCGGCAGCTCGAGACGCTGCTGCACGCGCTCATGGAGTGGCCGGCGGTGCGGCGGGCGTTGCAGTGGCTGGCGCGATTGTGGCCGCGCACTGGGG